TTTTTTTTTTTTGGTCAGAAAAGTACAATTGTTTGGTTCGCAATATTTATTTACGGATGGTTTCAATCGCCAACGTTTACATAAAATGGTTGTATTACTGTTCCCAAGGGTTGTTGTTTTCATCAGTACGTTACCAATAGTAGTGATTCACAGTATTAGGTTTGTACTTTAAATAAATATATTTAAGTTCACTCGAAAGATGAGTATAAACTGTAACAAGCTTATCGTTGATGCGCGGCCAGTACTTGAAATCTGACTGACACTCGATGCCAAAACTCAACCTCGTTCCCTGGATATGCCACCACATTACTTTACGCCGATTAAAAACTGCACGCTATTGTGCGTTTTCTTGCACAGGAAAAACCAAACAGAACTTCTCATTCTGGCCCTTAATGGTCAGAATAATAACTAGGACTTTGTCTCTGACGAAGGAACGGCAATAAGCACAATTTTAACCTACGAGCAGGTTGTTGGTTAGTCTCGTCATGCAATGTTGGAGAGAGAGATAGCGTTACGTGACAAGTTCAAATTAGGACTGTGGAGGGGACTGCAGGAAGCGTTGTACCATTTCAGTTTATTTTTTCCAAAAATTATTCAGACACCAGCATCAGTTATATAGTGTCCCATTTCAACCTACGTATCCAAAAAAATAACTCCTGCATGCGTAGCATGCCTATGTTTTATGTTTGTATGACTGTATCACTATGATATGATAATCTATCTAGTACAGTGACAGGGTAAAAATTTTTTTTGTGTGTGTGTGTCATAATGGCCACCAACTTTTTGGAACTGGCTACCACTTTAAAATATTTAAGAGCCAAATGGCTACCGGAAAAAAAAGTTGATTTACGCCCTGAAATAGTGATTTACGAAGCGATCTAACATATTGCCATATTTACTCTGGCACGACTCCCGGTCAATGTTCTCCATAGATTTTGCGGCTTTGTACTATACTGTCACGTTCAATAACAACTCTACCTCGTCGTCGTTCCATATGAATGATTCTGGCTTGTTCCCCTCATCCTTCTTAGCTTTCTTGCCTGATTTCGACATGTTTTTAACTGTTTGAACTGGTGCACGTAAACTGAAACATCGAATTCCCGCGGCTGCAAAATCCCGCATCGCATGCTCCGTAACCAATATATATAGAGTCGTCCTGGGTACTGGAGTGAATCGGAGTGAATCCGGACTCGTGTGGACGGGCGAATTCGGATTTGAATACGCTGTGATCACATAACGTGTGGACGCGGATAGTTTCGTATCCGGAAAGAAAAAGTTGCAGATTAAAAAATATCCGGATACGTGTGGACGGGGCCTGAGGCGAAGACCCAACTGAATAAATTTGAATAAATTCTTCTGCATATTTCATGTCAAATCCATATCATTCATACATAATTTATCACGAATTTCTCGCCATCTGGTTTTTAATTCATTCCGAACAAAAAGATTAACCCTATGTTTATTGGTTGTTTCAAAAAAATGTTTGTTGACACCTCTTTAATCATTTTTGAAAGCAGAGCACTTGAAATAATTAAAGTCGTAATGTGGAAATTTATTTGCGATCAATGGCAAAAACAAAACCAGATAGATGTTAAATTAATATCTACCATGTTACGTAGGATCTGGTAGCTCTGAACAGTGGTTAAACAGAATACCTATGCTATGCGACCGCCGAGCCTGCGTTAGTCAATTTATTCTTCTCCATTCTGTACAGAAGCTCTGAATGTAAAGACGTGAATTTTTAATATTGAGGTCCCATCGAAACAACATTCAAGTACATATCTACGTAAGCTGTTTCAACACAAATTTTGTCTTCTTCAAGAGAATTGCACGTCTTCCACTCAAGTGGGAACCTAACCTAACCCCTTGCTAAGGGTGTTACCATCGTACTATTCAGCTTACAACTTTCGATTGAGAAAAAATTATCAACACAAGTACGATCAATTATCAAAATCTAACATAATGAAACTGTTATTAAAATGCAATCAGCTGCAAAGCCAGCATCTGTGACTTTGTTGTCTTACTATGAATAAATCTTCACAGCACTTCCTATTGTCCTTAAGCTCAGTACAAGAAATCATCTCCAAGCAATATTTTCTTCAGGCGATATTCAAGGTGAGCTAAGGTAGGGGTTCCTTTGGGGGGAGCTTTCCCATCTTCCACATGAAAAACTCGCTTTTCGTCAAAACCAGTCGGAATCCAGTCATCCTCGTTTCTTTCAGTAAAGTGAACGATAATGAGTCTATTCTCAACAAGCTCTTTGTTTTCTGTGAATTCTTCGTGCATAACTTTGCCGTCAAAAGTGATGTAATCATCGCATCTTTCTTGCTGCTTGTTTTGGATGAGGGACGAAGCTTGGCGTGTCCCGACCAATACCACACACTGACTGCTACGTAGCTCGTACCTGAAATCTTGTTTCAACACCAAAATGTTCTTGATACCTCTCACATCTGAAATCCTTCCCAGCCTGCCTTGAAAATAACTCATTAGTCTCCTGGCTTTGGTACTGTCGCTTTCAGGATACAAAAACAATGTGCTTTTCATTTTCGACTCGAATTTGTGTGTCGAGATACGAACCTCTGAACACGCTCAACACGCTCTCGGATGTTCTGATTAAAATATTTCACAGAAAGGCACTTAGTTCGTATTTGCTGAGAGAGGACTGTTTTCGATACAGAGAGGAATCATTTCTTGCTGCTATGATATATACCAAAGCAAATGTGGGATTTGCACGTGGAATACGGAAGTGCATATGAAAGATTCATCTCAAGGAAGCTCCTTTCAAGACCTGCCAAAACATTTGCATTCTATCTTTAGACTGAAAATTAATCATGATTCATACTTTGTTGGAGTATTCAAGAACCTCGAAATTACAGAAGAACTCGACACACCCGCTTAAAAGGTCGTGCTTAATTTTTGGAATACTCGTTCTGTTGTTTGAATACATTCTTAATTTCGAGTGTCAAACAAATTTTTGCCTGCATACATTTTATGCAAATTTACGGAGTTTTTTGGCCGTCTGATGTTTTTATTCATTAAAATGATGGATTCCCTCTCCGTTTGTAAAGTAGTCAATTCTTTGCTGATGAAATTCATATCCTCCACAACCTTTTGAGCACGGGCTGTACCTTGACAAATTACAACTCTTTCAAAAAGGGAAGGTTATGCAGAAAAATGTGGAACAGTCTTAACCAGAATTTACATGCCTTGTTTAAACTAGTGCCCAGGGGTTTTCGTATTTGCAACCGAGAGACCGACAAATCCGTGGTGCGACTTAAGCCAAAAGCTGTCGCTGGGGACGCTGGGTAGATTGTGATGCTTTTTTGTGGTACTGACTGACCGAAGAGAGAATGCGTACGGTAATGCTTCCTTATTAAAAAAAAGATTTGCTTGTTTGACGACACATATAACGTAAATGTGGCTGGTGTTAAATGATTCCGGGATGAGGAAAAAACAACAAGAGTTAGAGTGTGTTGAAAAGGGAAACGAAAAAGGAAACTGGCGCAAAATTGACCGCTGTCGTGATCAGCAACAAGTTTTGCCAGAAGATGATTTTGGATTTGACGAGAAGTTCTGGATTAAGGTAACGAAAATGAACATTGAAATGCATGTTACGCGACGAGTTCTCTGAATTTATTTCTAAGTTCTATAGTAAATTTTTTGGCCATAAAGTAAGTCGTTTATTAACCAAGATGTATTTAATTATCAAGGTTCATCAAAAGCAGATCGATGGGTTGTCATGGAACAGAGCTATGGATGAAGTTCGCGTCGAGAAGCTGATAAAAAAATTTAAGGACAGTGGGGAAATGGGCAGTGAGGACCCAGCTTTGGTGATGTTAAAACGGTGGCCAGCAACTGAACAATACAGAAATAATCCCGATAAAAATCGTGGACTTGAGCAACTGGTAAGTAAACTCGAGTTGTATGACTTCAGGTTTTACATTCATTTCATGTATTTCGGCCAATCAGTTAGAGAATTTAACGAACAAAAACCAAATTTTAGTGGTATTAATGATGTGTTTTGTAGATAAATCGGTGGTTGGAGATTCTTTTAGAAAGTGAACTAAACTCTGAGAACAGATACGAAGCGTTCCAAGATGAAAATGACAAAACAAGAAAGACCCTGATGCACTATGCAGCAGAACTTGGCTATTTACACGTCGCAAAAACGCTTGCGAGGAAATGTCCTCAGCTGCTTACCATGAAGACAGAAGATCAACTTCAACCTGTGGAAAAAAGAGCCATGTTACCAGTGGAATTGGCAATAGCAGCAGAAAATGATGATGTGGCAGCATTCATGGTTAGAGTTATGGAGTATGAAAGGTACTATTTAGATGAACAAATGTGAATTTTACGACGTTGGGGTCATATGGCCTTAAAGATATGAATTTTGTTTTCATTCGCTTAAAAAATTCCCCATTAACAGAAAAATATATTAAACTCACCTGTTCGTAATTAGAAAATATATCTTCTACATCATGTGAGGAACCCAGGTTTGATATAAGCTACTAGCATCTGCTGGGCTTCCTTGTCACACTTTTTATAAATAATCATAAATAGTAATTTTATATGGATTAAGTATAGTTTTATAGAGTTACTTTTGAAATGATGATCTACTTCCACAACTGTTTCAAGGGTGCACAGTTTATTTTGCTGGAAACAAGGAAATATGACAAATCCTTTACCATCCTTCTTTGGCTTCAGGGCAATCATTGAAAATCCTAGAATGAAGGTGAGATGTGTTATTTTAATAAAATATATTATAAGCCAGAGGCTCTGAGTAGACAACTCTTTTTCCATGAAATAAATAATTATTTTGAAGCCAATGATAGATATCTTGTAAGTAATGTTTTTGATTTTTTTTTTAACAGGTTTTTTTCAATTTGTAGTAAGACATGATTTTAGATGTCTTTAACAGGATAGGTCATGGTTTGCCCTTTCTACAGAAAACAGTAGTGGCTGTATTAGACCAGATGGTGAACCCTCACTGGCCATATCTCCCACAGCGCCAAGAAAACTATGAAACTGAAGAAGAGAGAGAAGCAATTGAAGGAGTCTGGAAAACAATCTCTGATGATCCATTGAGCTACCATTTTTATTATCATATTTTGGATGGAGATGAGGAAGGTCGTCCCCCGAAGATTTTGGCATCAGATGGACGCATCCCAATAGAAAACAAACATTTCAACTGGAAAGACAAGTCTTGTTTACATGCCATAGCAAAGAGCAAGAATAAAGTAAGTTTCAGATCCAAAGGCAATCAAATATTGACAAAATTCATTGGTGAAATGTGTTCTATCCAGCTCTGTTATTTGAAAGATTTGAGAAAGGATAGAAACATTTCATATACTACTAAAACACATTATTGCAGGAATTTGATTCTTAGCACTCCTCATGCTTAGTTTTGGGCAGGAATCAGTTCTTGATTTTCATTATTAGGAGGCTTTACAACATCCTGTGGTCAGAATGTTGGTTAAATCAAAATGGAGAAGCTATGGACACTTGTTTCTTAGGTAATTCAGTTGTGTTTGCAGTCTTCATACTGTAAATTTTGGAAATAGCTGTATCATCTTTATGGATGTAGGTGTTGAATTGAGTATTGATGAACCTTAAAAAAGACAAGATTTATTTAGTTTATTTTTGCCACTACATATATTATAATAAGACCATGAAAGCACTTCTGTGTAGTATGATTCAGTATTAACATAGTATTTCTTGGAACATTGTGAATGCATGTTACTTTCCAAATTTTAAAGACTTTCATTTCTCAAAGGTTGATAACAAAAGTTTTAGACAGGTTACCAATAACTTAATGTTTCATATCTTTATTTGAATTTCTGATCCTGTACCCTTTCTACATTTTACTCCTGCAGAGGCACTCATAATTACTTTTCCTTATCTATAGCCTTCAAGCAGCATTTCTTTGCATCTTCTTGCTGTGCATGTCATTTTCTCTGCTGCATGCGTCTATCAGACTAGACCCCACCCGGTACAGTGATGTGCTGGACTCACTGCGTGGACTTTGTGAAGTTGTCACTCTTCTTATAGTTGGTTTTTACATCTGTGAGGAAATAAATCAGATAAGAATGTAAGTAATTATGGTGATCGAGGTTTTCTGTGGAAATCTCATCAAGAAGGCCTCCTATTTTACCCGGTATCTCAATGAATGACCCCACATTCAAAGAAAAGAAAAAGACCTCGAAATTAGGAGAGGGGAAAAGTCATGGAAATTGATTTATTTCTTGCAGAGAAAGGCGTTTGTATTTCACAGAGTGGACGACTCTGTTTGACTGGTTAGGCCTGCTGTTGATCCTGTGTATAATACCGCTACGATACATGGATCATAAAGCTCAGTGGATGGTGACATCTTTGGCCTTCTTTTTCAATTTTATGAGGATCTTTAAGTTTTCATGCGTGTCAAGGTAACCTACAACTCCCAATTGATTACTTTAGTTCAGAAAGAGCGCTGATGACTTAAAACTTATCCCTCTGTAATAACCTAACCTAACATTACCTTATATCTTTTTTAGGACTACAGGATTATACACTAAAACCTTGGCCAAAATCATATTACATGACGTCACACGATCCATGGCAGTTTTTGATGTGATCTTTTTCTCTTTCTGTGGGGCATTGACTTTATCACTCTGTTACTCTGGATCTAGGGAAAACCAAGAACTTCGGTGCGTTTCTGTTGAGTATATCCCGTGAACAAAGCTATGAAGTTGTCTTTGAAAAAATAAATGAAGGCTTTGGTTCCTAAAAGTAAGTAAAATATTCGAGAATTTCCTCTAGAATTTATTTTGGTTTGATCAGCTAGAATTTTTATTTAGTCAAACTATTCTCCCCCTTTTACAAAAGCAATTTATTGAACGCAGTAACTTGGTGGATATAACTCATGAGAAGTGCAAAATCCCAACATACTAATTTTAATTTTGCTTTAAGTGGTTTTGGAGACGTCTTGTTGAGCGGATTTCAAGCACTGTCTGATCAGTATCCAATGGCTGAAGACTACTCAACTTTCAAGTAAGTGGCACTAATCTTTTTAGTTATTACTTCTCTGTGCGCGTAATAGCAGCTTCCACTCGTGTTTAAAACGCCACTTCAGAGAAGCAGGTCTGTAATAGAGAATCAGGTTTTGGTCACAACTGGAGTCCAGATACATATTCGTGCTAAACTTTGTGGATATTTCTTTCGTGCAGCTGGCTGTCAGTTCTGCTGATGATGGCGTACATGGGGACAGTGACTGTAATTCTACTCAACATTCTCATTGCACAAATGAGCACGACCTACACTCAGGCCAAGAAAGTCGCTCGCCTTGAATATGATGTGGATCGGATTTTACAACTCACTCGCATGGAGAGATTTCCTTTTCTGGTAAGTTATCAAATACTTGATGAGACTCGAGTGACAAGAGGCACTTACCACCTTGTGTTATTGAAACCATGTGCGATTGCGCAGGTATACTGCGCGTGCGTGGGCTTTAGAATGCGATGTGGGACGGAAGGAGGTAATTTATTTGTTTTACTACGACTTATCTCTCTGCAGAATTTGCGTGTGAAGTATTACAAGGAGGGAGACTGGATCAGTGAAATGAATCTCGCAAAAGGTCGGTATTGAATTACTTGGGATTGAGAATGGCTGATTAGACATATCATCTCTAAGTGTTGTCAGTTGAATGTCATTTGAGGAGCAGAGATTGAGAGGGGTGGAGTAACGTGAAAATGAGAGTGGAGCCGCGTACTTTATACCTCCCCCCTTGTGTTTTAAGCGAGAGCTTTATAGAAATCTGCCACGGCAAGGAGCAGGAAGTCTCTCATCAAGGTGATTTGTTAATTTAGCGGAAGACAATATGCAGTCAAATGTAATGATGACGGTTGCCGCAGTTTCTTTATATTCTAATTTGTTACGATTTTGTTATTTTTTTCTAGAGCTTCTTGAGTTCAGTGAAGATCGGAATCCGTGGGAGTCAGTCGAAGAAAAACTTAGTGCGATCAGGTGATGAAAATTCCTTAGTTTCCCTTCTTTCTCGCTACGAACCTCGCATGGAGCGCGAATCGATCGAGAGTCGTAAAACCAACAGATGAAAATCATAGTAAGAATTATAACAAAAGAAAATAGCATAAAGAGAACGGAAGAACTCAAGTAAAAACAAGAAAACTGCTGTAAGAGTGGCTACATTTTATCTCCTTCGTGGCCTTTCTCAAAGATGTCTTACAACGTTCTTGGAAGAAGCCTCTTTTGGGTGGAGCGTTCCGTGACGTTTCTAAGAATGATTGGGAAGGGCTCGTGACCACAGGAAACGTTAGTGCCTCAGTCACGCTTGATTTCAGTTCGGAATCGGATTAGGTTGGTTTAGAAGGTGGCGCGACATTTGTATAACTATCAAATAGCAAACTTTAACAAAAGCAACGAACTCTCTC